ACCTACTTTAGTCACGAAAATTATATCTCCCGTTAGCTGTGCCAGGGAATTTTTTTTTCAGAAGTAAATTTGATGCCTTTCCAAAATTGCATATGATTAGCTTTAAATCAGGAAAGAGGCCAAGACTTACTTACTGTGCTGAGTTAGCAGCCCTCCCAAGAAGTTAAACTTGAGGTCAAAGAAAAAGAAATGTCATTTAGAATGAGACCACAGTAGGAAACAACCCTTAATACCTCCTGAGTTTGGGCAGAATTTTTAATCATCCCAAACAATAAGCAAATAAAAACTGCTTATGCACACAAATAAACATAACATACCACTGTATACATTAAAATTAATTTGGATATTTTTTCCAACCCGTGTAAATTTATATAAATTGATATAAATGTAGTGTGATAAAACACATTTTTCTAAATACCAATTATTGATATCAATTTTGAAATATTTCTATTTCAAAATAGAAATAGATTTTGAAATACTTAATGATTTTGAAATATTTACTCGATACATTATTAATGGGAAATCTGGGACAATTCCCATGTATTTCAACTAATGACAAAAGATATAAAATGATTCCATTTATAATTCAAAGCCTGGTGTCACAGCAAGTAAAACAGTTTTGCTGTTAAATACTGCAAATCATTAGTGCTATCAGCATATATGTCTTTGGAGAGTAGACTCACATCCTAACACAAACCAACCTCCATTTACTGCAAACATAAGAGTAAGTAAAACGTGGCAGCCTGGCAGAATGCATCTTAACCCTCCCAGGCAACTGCTCTCCTTGTTAAAGTTCCCCTTGATAAATATGAAAAGTAACAGATGACTAACATGCTATTAGCTCAGAGTTTGTGTCTCATGGGTCAAACGCTGGGGGCTTTTTCTTCTGATTGGGAGCATTTTAGAGTAACCATGAGAGAACTCTTTACATGAATAAGAGAAAAGGGAGATTTTCAAATCTTCCAGTTGCTGTAGAGCTCATGTACTTTGAAGATGCTCAAATACTTCTGTAAATACCCCCAAATCTTTCTTACAAGAGGCAAGGTGGTTTTTCTTCTTAAGACATTATCATTACCTGTCAGCCGCCAAGGACACATTTGATATTTGGCTTCAATATCATTTTCAATGAAAATGAGATTTCATTTTTGAAATTTATCTTTTTTTTTCTCCTTACATAATCAAAAGCTCAAGTATCTGAGGGAGCCATTTTAACAATTCTTCTCTTAAGTAATAATTAAAGCCGCTGCTACACAGGAGTTTTATGTCTTTATAAATGTCAGCTCAATTCTAATGAATCAGAGCTTCTCGGAAGTTCTAACACCACATGCATGAATATATACAATTTTGAAATGTCTTTTTGCCATTTATACACTTATAAATCATGAGCCAAAGTTAAAACCCCAATCGAGTGTGTACCTTTCACGAATTCTTGGGCCAACAATTACTGGCATGCATTCTAACACCAGAATTCTTCCCCAGTTACTGACAGTAAACATGACACTGAGGTTGCAGAAAGACTTCGATATCTGAAGTTCAATTACACTTAATTCTATAAGAATATAATTTGAGAATTCATGAATATGATTGGTTGCTGTCACTGGAGTTTTTTTTTTAACATACATACAAGTCTATATTTTTTTGTTGTTCTAAATAGATATTTAAAACAGAGCATTATTTTTCTGATTCACAAAATTACTGAAACATGTCTGATCCTATTAGGATTAATAAATAATGACAAATCTTTTCACACTCATTGGATTGACAGGGATAAGGAAGAAAATAAAGTGAGAGATGCTGTATGCTAGATATTATACACTGGGAATATAAATATAAATAAGGTACTTGGACCCTTGATGTGCAATCTTGTAAGAACAGACAGATAAACAGATTGTATTAAAATGGAAACGTGCAACGACATAGAAAGCACAGATTAATATTTTATATTAGTTACTCCAGGGGTAACTAATGAAGGAGGGCTTTGTAGGAACTAGCATTTAGCAAGCAGTGATTAGACACCAGGTTCTTCACTTATATCGTCTCATGGAATCCTCACAACAATCCTATACATCACCGTCTCCATTTCATGGCTAAGGAAAGGAGACTAAGAAAAATTAAATAGTTTGGCAAGAGCACATCATTGATAAGTGGTAAGACTGGAATTTAAATCTTGTCTGGGTTGCAATCTCCAAATTTTCCAACTGCATGAATGTGTTGCAACAAAATGCAAAATGAAACCTGAACAACCTATGTGCAGCCTAAGCTTCATGACCAATACATGGATGCTGCTACCAATTTAAAACAAAAGTCATGGCACTGATGCTAGAGAGGCATGTATGAGATGGGGCCAAGGACAGGAACATTACTACCCACACCACCCAGGCAGGCAGGTAACATGGAGAAACCCCAACCTGTTTTCCTATGGACTTCATTCCCATGGCACTTTGTTCAAAGAAATTACTTATTTTTAAATTACAGTGTCCATCTTCATCAATATCGTCACTGTTTGAAGAGATGTTTTCAGGCTATTCCTCCCTTCCCATCTGCTTTTTTTGGGCGTGTGTGAAGACAGAAGGTGGCTGGAAGGTTGCGAAGAAATCACATTGGTTATCAAATGTCTCAAACTATGTTACTAAGTCATTAAGACTGACTTAGAAATATTAGGGTTTACCACCTGCTACTGTACACAAGGCACCTTATATAACTGGTCAGATGCTGTTAGTCACTTTCAAGGACATCCCTATCTTCTGGAAATGAAACTACTCTCTAATCAAGTTGGTTTAAAAAATAGTTGTTACATCTGGAATGAAGCAGAGAGAAAATACATCTTTGCACTGTTTGTTCTGAGCCTGTATTCTCACGTCAGAGTCAATATCCCACTTCATAGGTGAGAAAACTAAGGGCATGAAGAGAAATGACAAGTACGCTTTCAGAGTTTGGGAATGTCAGGTTTGGTCCTTGAATCCAAGCTTGTTGACACACACCACTTAATGCTTTATCTTCATGCTTCAGAAAGATTTTTTTTTTCAATTAATAGTATATTTTTGAAGGTTAAAGCATTTACAAATCAACTAGAGGAAGGCAACATTTCACCATTTTTCTACAAGAATATCGTAGATTATGTCATTCTAAGATAGCAAAAGAAAAGTCTCATTATCCCGATTACTGAGCACTGATTACTACATACAAACACAGAATAACACAGTCTGCTGATGACATGAACAGAACCAGCTAGAATCTGCTACAGCAGTGTTCCCCAAAGTGGGTTCTGAGGAATGCTAGTTCCATCAAACATTCCCTCATTGTTCCAATAAGTTTGTGAAACTGGAAATATTTTATTCTCTTCATGCAGATTCCTAGTACACTCTGGCATATAAAGGTTTGATAAGTCTTACAATGTAAAAGAACCTGTTTAATGTTATTTAATTCAGAGTGCTTCAAAATAATGAAAGCAAAACAACAGAAGTGGTTGAATATCAGTGACTGAGATCCCAGAAAGTTTTAGAACATTTCTAGATTCAACTCCAACAGATTAGTTATATCAAAAGTCAAATCAAACATGAATTTTATAAGGTTTCTATTTAGTATCATTTTTCACATAAAAATAATGCCTACTCTGAGCCAGGTGTTCTCCTAGGCCAGGGGTAGCAAGAAAGCTGAAACCAGTGTGTCAATCACAATGAATTTGTAGTAAGCGGCTGACCAAAGCATGGTGTTCAAAAATACCATGCGGCTATGCCTAGATTCCGAGAGAAAAAGTACCATGATTGACTTGTACTGTCTGCCACAGATGCAGAATTGAAGCGTGGAGGCATGTGGCCATATATTTTCAATCCATGAACTAGGCAGACATAAATGAATAAAATGTGGCTCCTGACTTTAAGCAGCTCATTTGGGGTGGGGAGAGGTGAGGCATATCATCATCTAATTTCAACACAGTGAGACAAGAATAAGAATAGGAGACTGTAACAGAAAGAGGAGCGCAGGAGTGATTGGCTAGCTTCAAAGGTTAAAGGCTGGGCTTCCCTGGTGGCGCAGTGGTTGGGAGTCCGCCTGCCGATGCAGGGGACGTGGGTTCGTGCCCAGGTCTGGGAGGATCCCACGTGCCGCTCCGCGGCTGGGCCCGTGAGCCATGGCCACTGGGCCTGCGCGTCCGGAGCCTGTGCTCCGCAACGGGAGAGGCCACAGCAGTGAGAGGCCCGCGTACCGCAAAAAAAAAAAAAAAAAGAAGTTAAGATGAATATGAATCGACTTTATATTATGTCCCAGAACCACTCTTAAAAATCTAAATCACTCAAATTGACTTTTTCTCCTTGGCATTTTCGTCTCTTCTTCAGATTGCAACCATTACCGGCTTTCCCATGGACGGAATACGAGATAACAAAGTCTATTGTTCTCTTCGGAAACATTTCATTTTCTTACAGAGAAAGGTGAAGGTAAAATGAACTGGTCAAGAGCCCGATTTTGAAAGTGTCTTGAGACTATCACCAGAAACGATTCACAATAAATTTCTTTCATAGTTGAGGTCATCTCTCTACATTTAAAATACAATCCTTGACTCTAAGGACACGTGGAGTTGAAGCAAATTTAAAAATGAACTAGTAGCATTTAGGGGTATATGAGGGAAGTAGTAACTGAAAGGGAGGAAAATCTCATCCCTGGCAAAAAAAGATCTAGTACTTTCGTGTTAATTCAGTATCTTTTTTCTTCGTGTTGGTTATAGAGAGATTTAGTGTATCAGAGCTATTGCTTCAAAGAATGAGATAAAGGTGCTCGTTGACAAATGATCACCATACCCATCATGACTGACCCTTTCTACCTCGTTTTCCTATCTATTACCCAATCCCTGTGAATTTGGGCAGGTATACATTTTTCCCTAACAATTTCTACTACAGCCTACACCACTTTGTCTGTTTGGGAATATGAGGTATATTTGGAATGTGCATTCATCGCTGATATCAGATAAATAAGCCAGAAGCAGAACAATTTTTGACTGGAGGACAGGAAATGCAACAACTTACCTGGAAGTAACAAAAGGAGGCTGAAAAGACTAAGATAAATATTCCCTGCATTTTCTGAAAAATACCAACGTTAGCCATCAAAGATGGCAACAGGCCAGTTAGTTCCTTTAGCCTCCTCTTATGACCCATGGTTTCCTCTCAGGAAGCAAGTTTCATTGTTGCCAAATACGTATGAGTCTGCTGTAAACCCTTATTCACATTTAACATTCATCTCTGCTTATAGATATGTTCAATACATGATTTAATAAAAGATGATACAAGAAGAAAAAAGGCTCTGAAACAATCTTCTCAGACTGAGCAACAATACTCCTACATACAGTAACAAAAAAATAGATGGAACTTCCTTATCTTGCTGAGATATCTAATTCTGTTCTCTGTGGGAGACTCATCAGCACATTCAGTTAACACAACCAGGCTCCTGTAAGTGCAGGTAATTACGACTATATGAACCCCTGAAAATGGTTTTGAAAAGATCAATGCCAACCTGGGCAATTCCTAAAACCAGTGCTCTGTGGGCAATGCAGGGCTCAGTCAGTGTCCTGAAAATGCTGATTTGCAAGTGGCACCTGGTTGGATTTGGGAGAGAATACTTGGTTCTTAGATCTCCTGAGCTCAGCATTAATATAATCCCACTCTATAACGAATTTTCCAGCTAAAGGTCTCCAATCGCCACCCATCTGCAGTCAGTCTCGACCTCCTCAGGATGGCAAGGCTGTATTAGATGGAGGAACTCACATGACCCGCACACAAGGTATAAGTGATCACCACCCCCATTTAGGAAGTCACTCTTCAGTGCTTAATTTACAAACTTTCCAAACTTGCTATTTCAGTGTAAGGTCCTCAGATCCTTGGTCTGGAAATCAACCCTTTCCTTCGCTCTCTATAACAGAGGTGATGAGGACAGATAATTTACTGGAAGAGCCTGGGCTTCTAGGATGCAGCTTACTCAAAACCACGGGCTTTGGAGCTTGGAAGAGCTGGGTTTATGCTTTTGCTCATCACTGACTGGCTGTGTGAGTGACTTTGCATGGTCTCCTCTTCTGGGACAGTAATTTCTCTCTCTCAGAGCTGTCACAAAGATTAAATGTGACTCTCAGCCCAATGCCTACCAAACACATGCTTGCCCTTAGTACATACCTCTCTTAGCACCGACATGGCTGAATTTCTTCTTTAAACACCCTCTCCATCCCCTGACTCTAAGCTCCCTGCTGGCTGGTATCCTGACTTGGCCATAGCTACACCCAGGCCCAGGTGCACTGCCTGACTTCCAGCAGGCTCTCAACATCTGCTTTACATTAACGGAAGAGGAGGCACTTAATAGTGCTTCTCCAACTTTAACATGCATATGAATTATCTGGGAATCTTGTTAAAAAGCATATTCTGATGCATTACATCTGGGGTGAGCCCCAAGACACTGCATTTCTGACAAGCACCCAGGAACACCCATGCTGCTGGGGTCAAAGGACCACACTTTGAGTAACTACATACTAGTTTCCTTTCCTTTCCTTCCTTTTTGGCCACCACAATATTCCATGAAGTGGCAACAGTGAGCTATTTGGGAGCAGCTCTTTGAGGGCTGTTACCCTCAGCCCAACCTCATCCTTTGCTCGACACAAACACAGAGGATGGGGACACCCAGGATAATACTCTATGGGGATTATTTACTGATATATCTCTACCCTATTAGGACAAGCTATTAAGTGAACTCCAGCGTTAATCATCAGAAAATAAAAAGCTCCTTAAGGAACCATGAACAGTTTCACTATAGCGCTATAGGGCAACACTATATAATAATGTGCTGGAATAAGGCACAAATTTACAAATCTCTGACATTTAATACCTTGTATTTCAAAGAACTGTCATTCGCTCCACCACAGTAATGTTAACAGAATGAGTATTTGTAAATATATAGGCCAGAAATGCACACAGTCGCATTTGCAAAAGGAAGCTGTCATTCAGTTACCACACAGTACCATCTGCTGGACGACTGCTGACATGCAGCGGAAAAAAATATGAAATAACCCCCTGGGAATAATAACATAAAGATTTCTGCGGCTTTTCAATGAGATTTATGCAAATTAAAGCAACTTCCTACTGTTCTGCACTTGTTTCTTGGAGAGAATATTGTACAGCATCTATGCTCTTTTGCTTAGAGAAGTAGAACAGTTTTATAGAGATATGTATATTGACGCAGGACTAAAGGCTGAACCCAGAAATCCCATACGGCCATGGAGAAGAAAGAACGGCTTCCTTCTTCCAAAGAAAACCTGGTTTTCTGGGTACCACTGGAGTTTACATGACTTAATCAACAAAATATTAGCGCACACCATCTTGCAGCACCCCAAGCAAGACACAGATAGAACAGTAGAAAATATAAATCCCCAACAGAGTTCACTCTGCACACAAGTACCTCTTGAGCCTTACAACTGGTCAAATTGTTTAGCACAAACGGTAAGAAAGGAATAAATGGGAAAGATGGGAGGCTTAGGTAAGACTTGCCTACTGACATCTTTCAAGAAGAGCGCAACTTGCTCTATCAGAGCAGTAATATAATTTTGAAGTTATTTAACGATTTCCTACCTGATATGAACTCAGTCTAGTTGCACGAGCCGATCACATAGGTCTTAGGCAGTCTTCCATTTTAAAGAATTAAGAAGATGGGTTGAACCGCACATATTAAAGAATGATTAGTGCTGTGAAATATCTACTTTGGGATGTTAGAAAAAATATATGTAACCAGGCCCTTTTAAGCAAATTTCTATAAAGGATCTCGAAGGGCATTATTGGCTTTCATTCAATGACCCTGAGAATGGCTCTACTGAGGTTTTCCAAAGATTTAGAAGTGGCAAGTATGAATAAAATATGGAACAATAAAGTATCTTATAGGTATTTTGGGGAACATTAAGTGAATTGCCTCAGGTCACAAAGTCCTAACAGTGAGAGGAAAAAAAGAAACTAGGACTCCCAGATCCTAGCTGAAAACACCTAAAGCACTTCCTCCTGTAGAATACTTCTTGGGGGACAATCCCATAATTAATTTAAACAGCTTTCGGGGCACATTAATCATGTATGCTATTTGAATACCAGGCCACTCCAAGAGGAGAAAATGGCTTCCTTGTCACTCATAAAGGGGACTGCTTTCTTCTGAGTGACACCAAATGGCTCCTGGAAGGAAACAGCAGCAATGCCACGAGTGCTGGGAGCTCACGTGGGGGGCAGATTTTTCATCCAGCTGTCTTGTCTCATCTTTTAGGATCTCTTCAGTAGCCGGGGGAAGTTGACCTTTCTTTCCAACTGTCAAGGCTCACCCCACCCCAGGCCTTCATCACCCTTAGCGGGATGATTCCCAACTGTACATTTTCATGAACTAAGCATCGCCTGAGGCCCCAGCTGTACTGGAAGGGAAACCGCACCCTGCATTCCATCTTTCCAAATGGTTAAGACAGCATTACTCTTCTCTGCCTGCATCCATACAGATTTCCAATATGCGGCAGTTTCGGGAATGTTGAACCAGAGTTTTGGGAACAAACTCTTACAGGGTAAAGATGATGAAAATTAAGACATGGAATACTATGGCACTGAGACTGAAATTCCAAAACAAAAGAAGCACATCTCAAGCTGGTCAGGAAAAGGATCCCTGATGGTAATATGGCATCTGGTAAAGCTCAGAAAAAGGAGAATGTTCTTTTAAGTGTTGAAGTCTAGACCCAAAATATGACTCTGCCCACTTGAACTGAAACTAGAGCTGACTAAAACTTTCTCTTCTCCTTCGTACTAGCCAAGTTAAATTACTTCCTGTTTCCTAGAGTGTATCTGCGTTTTCTAGCCCCACTGCAACTGTTCTGCCATTCATTCCCTCACTCACTTCTTCCTGCCCTCATGCACTGAACAAGTATTAAGGCCAGCTATGAGTCAGGCACTGTTCCAGGTGCTAAGTCTACAGCAGTGTCCAAGATAAACAAGTCCCTGGACTCGTGGAGCTCACTTCTAGTAGTGTGGGGCAGATAATAAGTAACAGCCCAATAAATATATACCAGGGATGAATTACTTAGGGAAGAAAGGGAAAGGAAAGGAAAGAGACAGTAATGAGGCTGGCGTGTTTCAGTCACCAGGGCAAGCGGTTCTGGTACGGTAACATCTGAACAGAGCTCTGGATGAAGCTAGGGAGAGAAAGGTGTAGTCACGTGGAGGAAGTGCATCCCAAGCAGAGGGAAAAGCACAAGACGAAGGGTTCCCTTGGCAAGTTCAAGTAACAGCTAGGAGACCACTGGTGCATGGCGGGAAGAAGGTGGAGAATGAAGGGAAAGGGCAGAAGATGCAGCAGGAAGGTTGTACAGGCAAGTGCTCCTCAAACATTCTGTGGTAAAGAACCACTGGTGTGTTTTTCACAGTCCACTGCAGATCAGTTCTTTTATAAAGTACAATTAAAATGTCACAGTAATATCTACTCTGAATCTGTCTCCTCACAGACCCACAGCTATTCTCAGATCAGCAGTGGGGGGGAGGAGAACACTGCACAGCACTGAGGGGGTTGGGAGGCCAGGGTCAGTGCTTTAAATTATATTCTGAGCAGTTGCACCACCACTCGAAGGTTCTGATCTGAGAGACCTCTGTTCCCTCCCATAGTGCCAAGTGGCAGGAGCGCACTCAGTTACAGGAAACATATCCACCACTTACGGAGAATACCTTCAGCCAGGAGCCCTCTCAGCACATGACGTTCATTTACTGACCTCATCTCATGGCTTCTCCTTCACCCCCACCAAAAGTAATCGCTTTCAATGAAAATTCTTCTCTTTTTTTTGGTCTACTCTTCACGGCATTCATCTACACGATATTATGATGTTTTGAATACATGCCACATTTCTCCAAGTAGTCTAAACTCTTAAATATCAGAGACTGTTTCATAAACCTTGTACTTATTATGTTAACCTGACACTCAATACATGCTCTTGAATTGAGCTCTAAACTAGACCTATAAAGATCAGTCATCAATAATATGATGTGACTATATAAAACAATCTTTTAAAGACCTGTTGACAGCATTTTGGAAAGTGCTGACGTTTTTCAAGCTCCCTGTAACTCTACAGATCAAATCCAGAAAATCGTTACCGGTTCAAAACTTTTGTAGTTCTAATCTCTTGTCTATGGCATATTTCTTGAAATACATGGCTCACTGGCTGGAACTTGTTACTATCTTAGTCCTATATAGATTCCTTTTCTAATGAAACGTGGTATAATGCAGTTTGACCCGTAGGGCTGAAGAATTTCAATGCTCCCTTAAAAAGTCAGTGACCAAGAAACAACATTGTTTGTATATGTCCCAGACCTACAGTTACTTTTCAAATTAGAAGTAATGATCTGCTATGTTAAATGTGTAAAGAAATTGAAAATTTAGCTTTCAATATTTTAGCTCAAAGAAGCATAGCAAGAAGATTATTGCTCTAAAATCCAATATGAAAAACTTTGTGGTGATTCTAACTTTATTTTTACTATGCCGAAACAGAGTCATCTGTACATTCTTGAGTGTTTGTGTCTTTGGAATGAGTCACAATTTGTGATGAAATTCCCGATTAAAAAAAGAAAACACCATTCCTGATCAGAGAATGTTATTATTTTTCTCAAAATTATAACTTTCTCCCTTACAAAAGATGAAAATCTTTTAAGAGTAGGAGGGCAGTTAAGAAGGATTGCCTAAACAGAGCAGCAGATCTTTGCCGTAGCTTTTCTGCATGGACAGAAATATCCTCATTTCTAGCTGCAAAGGGATCTTCTTAATTTGGTACATAGAGCTTTAAAAGGTCTTAGTCCTCTCGGGCTGCTATAACAAAATACCACAGACTGGATGGCTTATAAATAATATACATTTATTTCTCACTGTTGTGGAGGCTGCAAAGTCCAAGATCAAGGCACAGGCAGATCTGGTGTCTAATGAGAGCCTACTTCCTGGCTTACAGATGGCACCCTTATGCTGTGTCCTCACAAGGCAGAAGGGGTGAAGGATCTCTCTGGGGTCTCATTTATAAGGGCCCCAATCCCATTCATGAGGGTTCCACCCTCATGACATAATAACCTCCCAAAGTCCCCATCTCTCAACACCACCATCTTGGGGGTTAAGGATTTCGACACATGAATTTTGGGAAGATACATTCAATCTACAGTAGTCAGCAACACAGTCTATTCTCTCCTATATCTGTCCATCCACCCATCCACTCACCCATCCACCCATCCACTCACCCATCCATCCATCCATCCATCCACCCACCCACCCACCCATCCATCCATCCATCCACCCATCCATCCATCCATCCATCCACCCACCCACCCATCCATTTGCCAACCCATCCACTCACCCACATCTCTCTCTGTCAGTTGATCACTTGATCTCTCTTTCCTTTTTCTAACCTTCAGAGTGAAACAAATAATATTTTCTTCCCTATGATTCCAAGATTTAAAACAAAACCCTAGGCATATCTTTATGCTCATCTTTCTGTATTCCTGAACAATCAACTTTCTTCAGCAATTTTCCTACTGCCTTTTCCCCAACCCACTTTTCTCCTTTACCTAAATCTAATGTTTCTCTTCTATATGTAACTCTCCATTTCTTTCTGTCAACCCGCAGAAGCAAATTCAAATGAACACCATAGCTTTTGCGCAGGGGTCTTTGCAAAGCAAGAAAAGAACAAGGACCCAAGGCCTTCCTTTGCTGGGTCTTTTATCTGGAGCCCCTCCCCTCCTGGGGTTGTGACTTTACCGGCTGCCACCAACAGACTTCTCACTTGGTGGCTTTTGTGCCGGCACTTCACCCGGAGAAAACATATAAAATAACTTACAACCATATGAAAAAATCTATAAGAAATAAGGGGGAAACCTGCTCATAAATTATTTTAAAAAGAAAAGGCAGTTATTTCATATTGTGCATTAAAAACCGATGACCAAAATTTGACCTTCCGAGACAGACACTGGTGCCCCTTGACTGCAATGACTCAATACCAGAAAAGCTTGAAACGCTGAATTAGCATCATTGTTTTCATTATAAATTTAAACATACAAAGTTTAAGCATTTAGAGGTTATCTTTGGGCGGGGCTAGAGTAGGCAAAGGACACACAGGAGCTTTTAAATACACTTGTTACATAAAAAGTTGCTCAACATTGCTAACTATTAGAGAAATGCAAATCAAAACTACAATGAGGTATCACCTCACACCAGTCAGAATGGCCATCATCAAAAAGTTTACAAATAATAAATGCTGGAGAGGGTGTGGAGAAAAGGGAACCCTCTTGCACTGTTGGTGGGAATGTAAATTGGTGCAGCCACTATGGAGAAGAGTATAGAGGTTCCTCAAAAAACTAGAAATAGAACTACCATATGATCCTGCAATCCCACTCCTGGGCATATACCATGGAAAACCATAATTCAAAAAGATACATGTATCCCAATGTTCACAGCAGCACTATTTACAATAGCCAAGACATGGAAGCAACCTAAGTGTCCATCAACAGATGAAAGGATAAGGAAGATGTGGCATATATAATATATATACATATATATATATAATGGATTATTACTCAGCCATAAAAAAGAATGAAATAATGCCATTTGCAGCAACATGGATCGACCTAGACATTATCATATGAAGCGAAGTTAGATAGACAAAGACAAATATCATATATGGAATCTAAAAAACTGATACAAATAAACTTATTTGCAACAGAGAAATAGACTCACAGACATAGAAAACAAACTCACGATTACCAAAGGGGAAAGGGGGGAGGGATAAATTAGGAGTTTGGGATTAACAGATACACACCACTATGTATAAAATAGATAACCAACAAGGACCTACTTTATAGCACAGGGAACTATATTCAATATCTTGTAATAACCTATAATGGAAGAGAATGTACAAAAAGAATATATATGTGTATATATATCAATATGAATCACTTTGCTGTATGTCCGAAATTATCACAACATTGTAAATCAACTATATTTCAATAAAGTTTTTTTTAAAAAAATACTTGTGTTTGTTTCTTAAACTGGTTGGTGGATATGCAATGTTATTTTGTTTTTATACCTTATATATATATATATTATCTTGTCTATGTTCAATATATAATAAAAACAAAATTATTAAAGTCCATTCTTTGAAAAGAATTGATTTATAATGGTATCTCTTTAGAAAAGTATCTGTAGATACTTTTAAATAAAAAATAAATCTACCAGAATACCACATGTGGTGCTAAAGAACTTTATTCATGACAGAGATACTTCACAACTTTTTGTGGAGTTGTGAGATAATGAATTTAAGGCACCTAGTACATTGCTTTGTATATACAAGGTACTCAAATGAACCACCTTGAAGTCAAAAACAGATTGCTAAACAGGAAACAAAAATCTTCTGTAGGAAGACATGCAGAAAAGTTTGGTATTAAACTACACTAAGTTTTCAATTCCATAGGAAAAGAAAAATAGGATTCTTTATTTTAATACAAATATAGGAATCGTAAATAGGAAGTAGTGATTGGTAAAGGATGGGATAACAAAAAGTACCACAAAATTAATCTCGACATGTGGGCTATAGAAGGAAAACTGCTTAAAAATACATCACACGGTTCACTTAACTTAACCGAAGGAAAGCATATTTGTCTTGGTCTGTTCTGCCACCATAACAAAATACCACAGACTGGGTAGCTTATAAACAACAGAAATTTATTTCTCATAGTTCTGGAGACTAGACATCCAAGACCAGGGTGGCAGCATGGTCAGGGTCTGGTGAAGACCCTCTTCCAGGTTGCAGACTGCCAACTTCTCGGTGTGTCATCACATAGCGGAAGGGGCAAGGGAGCTCTCTAGGACTACTTGCGTAAGGGCACTAATCTCATTCATGAAAGTTACACCTTTCCTTACTTAAAGTCCCCACCTACTAATACCATCACCTTTGTGGGTTAGAATTTCAACATGTGAATTTGGAAGGATCACAAACATTCAGATGATAGCAATGGTAAATTATGGAATTAGTTAAAATTTTACATTAAACCTAACTTTTTAGAAGACAAGTGGGAGAATGTATGCTGTCAATCAGAATGACCAGGAAGGGACGGGGTGGGAGTCAGGGGGGTGGAATCTGGGCTGGTAAACAGTGAAGCAACAGAAGCCACAGAAGCTGAGACAGAGGAGGAGAGAGTTCCCTAAGAAATATAACCTAAGTGAGGAAGATGAACAGGTGGGGAGAGGACTCCCTGAAGCATTTTTTGGCAAGCATTTTATATGTCATCTTAATGAATCTTCTCAAAACTATGAAAAGCAGGTGTTATTATCCTGTCTGTACAGGTGAAGAAATCATACTTCTGTGAATTTAGAAAAATTACCCTAAAACACACAAAGTTACAGCAGGGATTTAAATCCAGATATATTTGACTCCAAATCTTATAATTTTATACCAGGCCACCTCAAGAAGAGAAAAGACTATAGAATATAAGTTGGGGTGGAGGGAAGAGAGGGCAATCATCTACCCCCAAAATGGTGAAATTAGAGAACACAGAAATTAAACAAAAATTTCATTTGAGTCCTTCCTTCAGCAGTTATTATGAGTATACTGCCTAGGTGTTCAGCAGATATTACGGAGATCTGAAAGCTAAAATCATCTTTTGAAGCAGAGAGGTCAAATTAATGTTCAGAATGTGTGATGTTCTGAGTCTAATTGACACACCAGACATAAATAAGTCACCAGGAGTGGTTGTAATACACTTTAGAGGTCTAAGGAACTTCAGGATGAAACAGTGACACACTGGGCCAAAATGTACAACTTGGCATTTACAAAATTATCCTTATGCGAGAAGTCTGGAAGCCTGTCAGCACGGTTCTAACACAGAATATGGGTTTCAGAGGTCTAGATCAGTAACTTGAACTTTCATGCATTACTGGCAGGCAAGTTCTACCAGCAAGATGCTTCAGACACACCATGGAAACTGCATCTCTCGTATACGTACATCTATTTCAACAGTATATTACAGTTATTTATGTACATATCTTACCACCCTTGACTAGGCTTTAAGCTGTTTAGCAAAGGTTGTCTTATTCAGGTTGTATGCCCTGACAGCCTGGCATACTGACCTGTACATAATAGATACTCAATATTTAATTAAATCAACCCCTCACCGCATCAGGAAGCACAACTGCTGGGTGGAAAGGCAACTGTGGTTTCTGTCAGGGGAGATACCATTTAGAATTATATTTAGAATTTAGATCTAGAATTCTTTAAGAGTTTGACATCAGTTTGTGGCCAAGGAGGACTCATTAGGCATACTTTTCCAACTAAATTGCATGGTAATTGGGAAAATGTTTTGCCAAGGGAAGAAAACTGGTTCAAAACTACAAACAAGAAGGAGGGAGAAATGTATAATTTCTCTAAACGAAAAGGAGTCAAAACAAAGAGTCTGTTGCAGCTGACCTTCATTAACCTTTTGTAAGATATAAGTCATCTAGCTGATAAGCCATGACGTGTTCCAGATAAGAAGTCAAGCTGATGAACATAAATGGCAAAGAAAATAAATGGCAGAGTTGAGCGGAATGAAGAGCGACAGACATGCACTGAAGACAAGTGCAAACTGAGGATTAAAATACAAAAGTATCATATAGGATGCTGGACTTGGAGATTCAGAGTCATTGGTAACAATTCTGGAAAGGCCCTAAGCTCAGGCGTTTTCTAAACATATAGACCAAAAACTTCCAAGTATTGTCAGGCAGAGTTTGGAAAAAACAAAGGGTGTTTTTTTCCCGTTGCATTAAATCCAGATTCTGGGATTGTGCCTGAAGAGAGACAAACACACCAAGTAAGAAAGGATCCACAGAGAGACACCTAGGCGGGATACTCGACCTACGCACTATTGACATTGTAGGTGGATCATTCTTTGTTGTTGGGAGGTGGGGTGCGGTCCACCATCCCTGACCTCTACCCACTGGATGCCAGCAGCACAGTACCAGTTGTGACCACCAAAAATATCTCCAGAAATGGCCAGATCCTCCCTGGGGAGCAAAACTATCTGATATAAGAACCACTGCTCTAAAGTGATCAACAGAGTCCCCAACGGGAGATGAAATCTGCTAAGTATGAGACAGAAATAAACATCCCATGAGAGAGTTGATGCAAATAGGCATATGGCTTGCTAAATTTCAGAACTACAGGTATAGCTGAAGGGAGGCACTTTTAAGTGCCTTTTAAATCACAGCAGGATTACTAAATAGGATGCAAACTTGTACATTTATTTTCACCTGAGGAAATGGACCAGGATTGACAAAAACAGGTTGGAGAAATGTTTGGCAAAGTCATGTGTGGACAGACCCCAAAGCTCTTCTTTTCATCTTAATCTCTTAGAGGGCAATGCTATTCCTCCACAAAACATTTCCTGGTGCAAAGAAAGAGAGAATATCAGTTTAGTCTAACATAAATGTTAGGCTGAAATTAGCTGATTTCTTCAGTTCTGATTTTTAAGTGTTCTATTTTGTTCATTCTGGGTCCCACCAAATGCATTTGGTCTAACTGCAGAAGTTATTTCTCATGTAAGGTTAGCCAATCTTGGGCATAGATATGGAGATGGAAAAGGGACAGTGATAGGGTTCATGCTTCTCATAGGCTCATTGACAAGTGCTTTCAGACTGGAAAGGTGGGTACTTGACCAACAGGATGTAAACTTTTCATAAATGCTAGGATTTATAGTCATGGCCTCATAAGTTGCCATTTCATGAAGAGCTACTCCACTTCCAAAGACTACACACCAATCTGGTGCCCTTGCCATTGTTGCTTTTTGATCGTGTTTACTGTGCTGAACTACTGCATTTCACTGAGATCCTTAACAGTAGAGCTTACACAACAGTGGAGAATGTAGGGTTTGTATTCAAAGCCTGGTTATTATCGTTTATGGTCTGTCTGATCTTGACCATAACACTTAACCTTCTGAGACTCATTTTTTCATGTGTAAAATAGAGGCATAATGACCAATCTCTCAGCACCGCTGTGATGATTAAACAAGGCAAAAGGTTGGAAAGCTACAACTGGAATCACTGCAGGAGGAGGAAGAAGGGTTTTCTGGGCAGCAGGGTCTGGAAGGCAGACTGTTCAAGGATGAGACAATGTTGCAGTTCTGTGCTCTTTTCTCCTTTTTCAAACAGGCCCACCTTATGAAAACCTGTGTTTTAGAACACTTTCTACTTTCCCCCCTAGTTAATATATAAACATTACATATTCCTGGCATCCACTCTGACAAGGGGGGAAAGAACCACCACCAAGATACCTTGTAAAATCCCTATTTATCAGTGCTTAAGAAAGCAGATCTAGAGTCAGACTACCTGGGTCCACATGCCAGCACTACCATTTACTAGCTACGTGGCCTCTTTTTGCCTCAGTTTTTTCATCTGTAAAATCGGATAATAACATTTCCTACCTCAGAGGGTTGTTATAAGGTTTTAAAAGAATTAATAACTATAAAGTACTTAAAAGAGTGCCTGGCATGTGGTAAAGACTCAGTAAGTGCTGGCACCATCACCATCATCATCATTTGTTCTCAGGACCACACGCTGCCAAGAGATAGGAGATGATGGGCAGGGAACCCCGTCCCCACCCTACAGTGTAAAGACTACAGCATTAAGCTTATTTATTTCATTGCTTCTGATCATATTTCCCCCTATCTCCACATCATGCCAGGTAGGGGTTTTGCTAAAAGAGACTTGAAAGTAAAATAAGATTGAGCGATGTGCTGGGGCAAGGGGTTTTTCTATGTACATTGGTATAAAATTTAAGCCTGCGGGTAGACCTGAACGCTCCATCAGCTGTCTCTAGTTTTGCTTTTTGGCACCATTGGAATAATGCAATCTTCTGTGCTGTGGGCAGCAAGACTTCTGTTTGTCTTCTTCTAATGCATCCCGTCTCATACGTAACGGCCATGTTTTCAAGCTGTCCAGCACCTTCCAAACACTCTCACTACGTTTGGGGAATTTGCAGCCTTATAGATCTGGCTTCATCAGGGCAGAATCCAGAAAAGTCAAGTTCCCAGACTCTCTTGCAGCTAGGAAACAGGCACTTGGACAAGGTTTTGCCAGCCAGTCCATGCTCCTGACTCTTTGGTTTGGAAACAAGCAACTTGAGGGGACAAGCTTTGGGAGGAGGTCATTTTGCTGGCTTTGGTGGCAGCAGAGGCATCCAACAATCATGGGCAGCCAGCCGAGAGGTTCCCCCTGGTGCTCAGTGGGCAGCAGAAGCACCTGCAGTTTATTCATCAGACCAGTTCTGATGCATGGTTTTACGATAGTTCCTGTAAGTTTAAACTCAACTGTTCTTATATGTTTAGACTCCAGCCCTCCCTACAGTTCTGCTACCTAATAGCCTTGTCCTTTTCTGGTTAACCAGCCCAAGTTGGTTTGTGTTGCTTCCCATTAAAAATCTTGACTGAAAGAGCTACATCTACTATGAAAGGGAATATAGGCATCAACCCATACCAGGAATATATATAAAACACCTAGTGTTTTAAAATGGTGGTTGATATAATTATGCCTACCATAAATGTGCAAATTTCTTCTCCAACTTTTTCAACAAATACTTCTACAGAGAACGAAAGACTTTGTCCAGGCCTTCACAGTTGACTATAATGCTTTGTCGTTATGATGTTGAGTTTACCTTATCAATGATCTTTCTAGTTGGAATTACCTGGAGACCCCGTTTCATTGTTCATCTCTGCTGCCTGGGCTGATATGACTCAAAGACTAGGACCACTGTTTGGAGCACCTAGAGATGCCTGGGCTTCCTCACAACATGGCTGCCTCAGGGTAATCAGACTTGTTACTTGTCAGCTCAAGTATTCCAATGAACGAGGGGGAAGGTGTACTGACTTTTATGACCCATCTTGGAAGCCACACAGTGTTAACTCCAGCATACCCTATTGGCCAAAGCAGTCACAAGCCTGCCCAGAATCAAGAGGAGGGAAATTAGATTCATAAGGAAATGGCAAAATCATGCTGTGCAAGAGTGTGTGGAATGAGAGGTGTTTTGCATCCATCTTTGGAAAATGAAATCTGACACAGTGATGCTGGCAAAATGGATTTAGAACCCAAATGTTAATTCTAAAGATGTCTAGGAGTCGTAGTCAGACATTTAGACTGCTGGGGTACTTCGAGGCTTGATATTATTATAATACTTTATATCTGGTATAGCTCCTAAAAAGATAAGCTGACTTTCTCAATTTTGCTTTCTATTTTTCATCCATCAGTACATAATTTGACTATGGACTACCCTTCTAGAAGAAATCTAGTGACTACTTACATTCTGAATACTAACATCTCTCAGTAATAGTCAAATTAATATATAGTCTGTGTTTCTTCCAGCTTAGCATAAGCTCCTAGTACTATGATTCCTCTGCAAAATCGTTAAAGATCTCTTGAAAAATCTTGTGTTTGCTTTCAGAGCAATGTCATGAATATAAAATTCTTTTGATGGTAAAAGGGTTTTTGTGATGCTCGTGTATTTCCCCTAGCTTTACAGATGGAAGATGGTGTTGATAACAGCATGATAATTTATATCATACTCATTGAGCAGATCATTGCAGGTGAGTTTCCCACTGAAAAATTCAATTACATTTCTCTACATTCTAACGCCACTGCTAAAAGATGCCCTTAAGTCTTTCCTGACTCCCTTCGAGGCAAAAACGATTCTGCTAGGAAAAGTCGCTTAAGATTCTTGAAGGACATTTCTTCTCATGGGCATGTGATCTGGGGGAGATATAGGCTATTTCAAGATATACGCTCATCAGTTATTTTCTTGGCAAATTTAAAAGTTTTGACTGTTAACTAGCACAAATTATTTGCAAAGGTAACAACTAGCAAACAGGTTAACTAGCAAACAGGTTAACTAGCACAAATTATTTGCAAAGGTAACAACTGAGGGCTATTACTCTTAAGGTACCAAACCTCTCCTGAAGAAAATATACCCAGCATCTTTTTTAATGGAATGTACATTTGTCCCTCAAGGCCAGGGCTTGGGTCTTAGCCACAGATACCCAGTTCATTTACATAGTGTTTGTTCAACTAATGTCTGTTGACAAGAATTTTATGATTACACATTGCTTTCATGAATATACAGTTCATGTACTACAATGCTAGCTCTTTTATATTTGGCGAGGAATCTAAAGTTTTAAACTTTTGATGGCTGACATTCCATGAGATGGTCATTAGATTTACATTCTAAGATATATTACACTTCCTGCATACATACCTTGCTTGTACGCTAAAGTCAAATCCATCAGAATTGGTAATAAGACGCATGAGGACAGGAACCATGTCTATCTTACATATTCCCTGCACCTTGCATAGTAGTGCTTCATACAGAGTAGGTGTTCAATAAACATTTGTAAAATGATGCAATTATTGATTGAATAAATGAAAGAAAAAGGCATACTTGGGTCTTAGGTCACCTTGTCTTATTCATTCATTATCCCATGAACCCACCTCAAAATAAAGTTGGTAATATCCACATAGTTATAAAATGGGGCCTCAGCTTCTTAAGAAAATAACTGGCTCACATCCTGGACTGGCATCACAAGAAAGGATTAAATTTCCACAAGCAAACTATGTAAATTGAGCTAGATTTCCAAGAATGATTCTTGATTGGACCGAACAATTGGAAGTGTGCATGTATGTGCCCCTGTTAAGTGAACAGGAAGTGATCAGGATATAGTTAGCTAGCTGCAAAATTCCATTTCCATGCAAGCTCCTCTGTGAGTGCCAGGGCTCACCCACTCCACAGGCTGCTTTACAAACACTACACATAAACCATAAAAATAAAACCCTGGCATCGGTGCTATTTAGTAATCAAATTCCACACACACCCAGAATTTTGCTAGTACGTACATTTTGATAATGAGGTTGTCTTAAAGGCTGTTGAGAGGTAGTGGAAGACTTCATTGCTTAACCAAAGTCTGCCAATTACCCCTTAACTTTCCTATTTTCCTAGGATCAATCATCCATCATATTGTGGTGTTTTAACTGGTTACAAATTAAACAGGAAAAGTAATAAGAAAAGAAAACTAATTTTCCTAGACTACCCTAATCCTGCCAAGCATAAAAATGCACTTAACTGAGAAAACTGCTGAGAGATTAATATAGAATTTGTGTGCTACTGAAGAAATCATTATAGCAGCTAAGTTCTGGGAATACAGCCTCTACAAAAGTGAAGGGAAATACCTTTTTCAAAAATAGTGGTGTGATAAAATTTACATATTTATTCTCTACCAATGTAAACAGGATTTTATTACTACAACTTCATTTAAAGTCATGTATTCAAATCTCCAGTGTGTCAGTGAAGAAAAAATTTCAAGGGCTAGGCAATTTAAATTACAGTATTAGCTAAAAGGAAACGGATGAGCATTTAACTTAAAGAAATCTGTAAGACTGATAAGGATCCAACTGAAATAAAAACTAGGCTCGGCGATCTAGCTGCTTAAAGAAAAAAATGTCTAGTTAAGTTAGAAAAAAATCAAGGATAAAAATTTTTTTTTATCTCAAGTACAATTCTTTTTCATTGTCACCGTTGTCGTCGTCATCATCATCATCATCATCACCATCATCATGGCCATCCTTTACCAAATGTTTACTCGATAGCAAGCATTTATACACACTTTCTACCAATCCTCAAAACAACTCTATGAGTTAGCTTCTATTATTACCTATGGTTTACTATTTAAGAAACTGAGGCTCAAACAGGTTAACTAGCACAAATTATTTGCCTAAAACCTGTAAGTGGCAAGTTAAAATTCTAGGCAGTCCAATTTCAAATTTTCTCGTAATTATCATCTGTCTAGATATTTCTGACGATAGGTCTGATGGGCAGAGTAGCTACAGACAGAGCAAAGCTGTCAAGCAGCTCATGAGCCTCATAGAACTTAACTAGTTATGTGACTAGTCTCAGGTAACTGAAAGTTTTTGGTTCTCAAAGTCCTTTAGAAAAAGTCCTTTAGAAGGTGGTAGAACTAGACTAGAGATTTGAAACTGGGTGGCACGAGCTGATAGAGAGCAATCTGGACATTTACAGGGAGGTGGCATCACAATGACTGTGGACCAGTCTTGTGGGCATGTGGGAGGCAAGGGTCAGTCACAGAAATTGTAAAGAGTGGAACAATTCCACTAGAGGAAAACTGTCCTGTGTTCTGCACGATTTTCCAAATGTTCTACCAGACATTCAGCTATTCAATAAACCCTTTTTATAACTATCTAAGCCTACACAGTAACTCCTTTTCCACATGCAAACACAAAGTATTTTTTGTTTCGTGTTATTTTAATACACCCTGATTTCTCCAGGCATGCAGCTGTAGTCTATATGTACGTGTGGGTGACTGTGTATGGATGAGTGAAGGTGCTTCACTTTGAATAGTTTTTAAATTATAGTTCACTATTTGGGAAAATCATACCACTGACATAAAACATACAGTGTTTGAGTTGCCAATACAACACACCTTTATCCAAAGGCATTTATGGCTGTTGCATTCATGATAATTCTATGTACAGGTGCATCTGACTACTTCATATGTTTCCAGAAGAGTCATGCTCAAACATTTATATATCGATACTGATGCATGTATATGTACATGTATAATTTTTATTATAAACATACTTTTATATATATATTCTAAATTTTGATTTTATTTATATGTAAATTATATACACATACAATTTTATATACATATATTTAATTTTATTATATATTATTTTATTTTTCCTGGCTATTTCAGTCAGGCTGTTATATTGATTTTTAAAACTATGTGTTTGTTGATTAAATTGTTGGTGAAATTTATTTTAAGCCAGTAAGGCACTGTTACTAAATATTTGTCAAAAAAGAGTGCACTGGGCTTCCCTGGTGGCGCAGTGGTTGAGAGTCCGCCTGCCCATGCAGGGGAAACGGGTTCGTGCCCCGGTCTGGGAAGATCCCACATGCCGCGGAACGGCTGGGCCCGTGAGCCATGGCCGCTGAGCCTGCGCGTCCAGAGCCTGTGCTCCTCAACGGGAGAGGCCACGTCAGTGAGAGGCCTGCGTACCGCAAAAAAAAAAAAAAAGAGTGCACTAGTTCTGAGAAGATAAAGAAATTCTGGACTAGGAGTATCTAAGGTCTCACCCAGCTTTAACATTCTACTCCATCCTATTAAATAAAGCCATAGCCAGAGATTTTTCTCTACAAAAGTAGCTACAGCGAAAATCAAAGGTAAATTACACACTCCCTCTTACTTAGCATAACTGCTCTCAGAATACAGACATATTTCTGGAAATTCCCTAATTTGCACATTTTTTATGATGGGAAGTGCCTTTCCTAGTCTGTGAAGCAGAAAATGACATTCTACATACACCCGCACTTGTTCATTCTTCCCTTTTAACCCACACATAAAACTTAGCTGGCAGAAAGTCAGCTGGATTAGAAAAGTGAGACTATGCTGACAAATTAATTTTAAATGAAAAAATATAACAAATTAAGTGAAAGGAATAGCAATAGGAACAATGTACAGCAAATGAGAGAAACAATGTGGACTTAAAGTAATTTGATTACTTTGCACCGTGGGCCGACATCATGGAAATATTCAGGGAATTACAACGAAGTATCATCATTTTAACCAAAGAAGAGCTTAAAGTTTCCTCAGTGCTTTGCCATCTAAAAGGGTCACTTTGTCAAACAATCGTTAAGCAAGAGTTCAGAACTCTTTTCTGAGGGGTATGATGGCCTTTCTGAAGGCCCTCCTCACACGCAGGTTCATTGATTAAACAAGATAGGCTGAGCCCTCACTGAGAAGAGCAGCAGAGCACTGTGCTGGGTGCTATGCAGCGTGACGGGAATGCAGGGATTCCTACCCTCCACACTCCTGCAGGACACACACAGATAAATAAATCTGAAACAAGGAAGACCATGAAGCAAGTTGTAAGAGAGCAACAAAGCGCTGAAGTAGCCTCGGAGAAGGGGAGGTTCATTTCAACTGGGGGAATCTGAGAAGGCTTCTTGGAGGAGGCAGGATTTGAACTGAGCTTGAGGAAGAAGAAAAGCTCTGGTAAGCAGACATGAGTAGGAGAGGGAGGTAGCCCAGACACAGGCAACAGCTTGAACCAAGGCCTGGGAGAGAAGAAGATGCAGAGCAAATTGGAATGATGGTGTTAGGGTGGGAAGCAACACTGCAGAGGGCCAAAATAAATACAAATTTGAAATCCAGGTTGAGGAGTTGGGGCAGTATTCTGTATATTCAACACACATTAAACAAATATTACAGAGCAGCTACTATGTTTTAGGCAGTAGGGATATAGCAGGAAACAAGGCAGACAAAATTCCTGACTTCATGGAGCTTACTTAATTAACTGTAGAAATACACAAAAAGATAAATAAGAACAAATACATAGTATGTCACAGGGTAAAAAGTATTGTGGAGAAAAAGGAAGAAAGGAAAATGAATGGGGGTGTTGCCATTTTAGAATGCCCTGGGAAGGCTTCACTGAGATAGTGGCATTTGAATAATGGCTTATAGGAGATGAGAATATATGTAATAGGGATTCAACAGTAGATTGTGACCACTACACACCTATGGGAATGGCCAAAATCCAGAACACTGACAACACCAAATGCTGATGAGGCTGTGGAGCAACAGGAACTCTCATTACTGGAGGGAATGGAAAATAATACAGTCACTTTGGAAGACAGTTTGATAGTTTCTTACAAAACTAAACATATTCTTAACCATCCAATCCAGCAATTGCATTCCTTGGTATTTACCCAAAGGAAAACTTATCTGTGTCCACACAAACACCTGCACATGGATGTTTACAGAGCAGCATTACTCATAATTGCCCAAACTTGGAAGTGACCAAGATGTCCTTTAGTAAGTGAGTGAATAAACTGATACATTAGATAAGGGCATATTACTCAGCGCTAAAAGAAAATGAGCTATTAATCTATAAAAAGGCATGGAGAGACCTCAAATGCATATTACTAAGTGAAAGAAGTCAATTGGGAAATGCTACATATTGTAGCCTTTGATTCCAACCATATGACATTTTGGAAAAGGCAAAACAATGGAGACAATAAAAAGATCAGTGGTTTCTGATGGGCACAGGGGAAGAGAGGTGAATAGCAAGAGTACAAAGGATTTCCAGGGCAGTGAAAATACTCTATATGATATTATAATGATGAACATATGCCATTATACATTTGTCTAAACCTACAGAATGTAAAACAGCAAGAGTGAACTCTAAGGTAAACTATCTATGGACTTTGAGAGATTGTGATGTTCAATGGAGGTTCATCCTTGGTTAAAAAAAAAAAAAGGATCATTTTGGTGAGTAATGTTAATAATGGGAGAAGCTATACTTGGGAACAGGGGGTATATGGGAACTCTTTCTACTTCCCTCTCAATTCTGTTGTAAATTAAAACTGCCCTGAAAACACCAAGTCTAGAAAGAGAGAGAGAGAGGAAGGAGGGAAGGAAGGAAGAAAGCTGAATGATTTACAGAAACGGATTTGTGTTTTGGGATGATAACTCTAGAAATAATATGAATTACTGATTTGAGGGATGCATTGGGGGGGCAGGTAACTAGAGGACAATGCATTGCACACCATACTGCATTCATAATTCTTAGCTACACAGTCAATGTGTAAAAATATACATACAAATGATAAACACCAAATTTGGGTCAGTAGTTATCTCTGGGATGGAGGAAGGGAGAGGAAAACAAAAGGAGGGAAAAGTTGATATAGGAAAGGGTTCTGAGGTAGCTTTTATTGTCTTTGTTGATTTCTTTCTTAAGCTGGTAGTGGCTGCATGGGTGTGTGTTATATCAGCCTCTATTCCTACTTGCATGTTTGAAATAGTTCACAAAAATTGAAAAGAAAATTGTAAAAGTAGAAGCTAGAAGTCATTAAAATAACTCATATATAATTACCATTTACTATGTACTAGGCAGTAAGGGCTACACAGGAACGACCTCAATTGATTCACAGAACAGTCTTATGGAAGGGCTGTGATTATTATCTTTCATTTAAAGGGAACAAGACATAAATGAGACACAGAGACTAGGAAATTTGGACACAGCTAGCAAACTAAGACACAGGGCTCTAAAGCGGGGTAGCAAAAAGACAATACATGAAACCACTGAACCAAACTGCCTCCCCCAAAATAAATAAAAGCTTGAGCTGAAGAAAACTTGTCAGTGAAGGAGGGTTGACAAAGATAGCAATAGAGTTAAGAGTCCCTCTCAAAGCAGAATGGACTGATTGGCAACTGGTTACAACATTCACTCATTCATTCCTTTTTTTCATTGCTCAATTTTCAATGCCCATTTGTTGACGCTTATGTACCAGGCACTACTCTAGATGCAGCAATATAAGACTAGATAACACAGTTTACAGGCAGTTGGAATATGGTGTGATTAGTGCTATGATAAAGATATGCGCAGAGGTTCTGGGAACCTGTGGGAGGCGTATCTAAAACCCAGACCTCAGAGCTGCATTCAGATGAGCAAGAGTGAAACCAATTCAGCAAAGGTTGAGGTGTCTGTTCACAGTAGGTGGAGGTGTTTACAGCAAGGTTTACTTGAAGAAATGCAGATGGTAAATACTGTAGTGGAGACAAAAGGGAGTGTGAGTATTTGGAAAAGATGCAGCTGGAGCAGTAAGCAGAAGCCAGCTCGTGAAGAGCAAAGAGGAGGTGGTTAGCCATGCAAAGTTAGGAAGGAGTGAAGGATGGATGTAATTAAGAGCAAATGAGGGTGCAAGGGAGGCAGCAGATGAAGCCTGAGAACCTCACACTTTCTAGAGCTGTGACCGGTAAGATCATCCGCTAAGAGGAAGGGAGGTGGGGGTGGGTAAAAGCTTTGTCTTACAGAAGGTCAGAAATAGCCATGTTAATTACACCGACGGGAAATTAAACAGGGGATCCAAAATAAATGCGTCATGACAAAACTGAGGACGCAGTGAAGGTAAAGTGCCTTGACGCTGAGTTCATCGGTCAGCACACACATCGATCATCACCACCGTCGGGAGATCCTGATCTATTCTCAACCACTTGGGAATGGAAACCAGAGAGCCTGCAGCGATAACCCGGGATAAAGAAAGACACTCAGCGTGGGCATGATGGATTCCTGAGCTAATTTTTAAATTATTTATAAGGGTGCAATGGTTAGCAGCAATAAGGAACGTAGACTCAATCGCTTCCAAATCCCAGTTTATAATGTAATTGGAATAGAGCAAAAGCAACCAGTTGATAGTAGCCAAGGATTGGCCAAATGAATCCCAAAAGAATGCTGAACTGATTAACTGACCTGTACCACCCCATAGGCAGACTCTTAAAAATTAAGTAGACTTTTGTTAATGTTTCTCAAGGTTCATTTCATATGTGTTCCCTACAGACAGCATATCCAAGTAAGTGGTGAGATGAATGGGGAAATCTCTAGATCTTGCCTGTGGCCCAACATTAGTAAAAGTCAGGTTTTCAAGCAGAATTTGTTACTCTTCTGTGCTTTTCCTTTCCTGAAAATTACAGGGGTCTCAATTGAGTAGGAAAAGGAGGACTAAAGGGAGTTTTCACTTCTTTTCCCTTCCCTTATTAACTCCTCAGATATTGTTACAAATGGGCTCTCTAATGAATAGTACATAGAGTTAAAGAAAAAGGCCCCGATGGACAGAAAAAAAGAGAGAAAGAGGAGAAGAAGCTTCTGGGTATGGCGGGCAGGGGGCGACAGTGTAGAACTTCCTTTTTTTTGGACACTAACACCAGAGGTGAGTTTTAAGCCTTAGTCTGTGAAGATGTGATCTGGGGTTCACCAGGGAAGTAAAGGGTAAAAGACTTAAAGCGTGGCTGCAGAAGCTGAAGCTGCTAATTGGCTCTAATGATCTGAATGCAAATTAATAAATCTCTGTGCTAAAAATTACACGCATCTATAACTGTGACTTTAATAACTTAAGAGCTCTATTTAACCCGTTATTCACACTCTTTCCTTCGTGGGACCCGGTAGGGATGGAGAACTTTCGTTTTACTCCCTTCCCTGCACGGTGCATCACAGCACTATTGAGCTTTACAGCTTTGGAAGCTCTTGTTGAAAGGATCTAAGGATTGCAGGCATGAAACCCCAGGATATTTTTACAAATGAGGGGGAAACGGTCAAGCACAAAGCTGTGGAAGGCTGAACAGCTTGAAAATTCCCAGCCAAGTTGTCTACTCGAGAACCCTTGGGCCCAGCCAGAAAAAACTTTGACATTGCAGTGTGTGGCCACGGGCTGTTAGAAATAAAACGGTCGTACTGCATTTTCTTCCACAAAGGGTGGAGTCGTTGATGAACTGAGATAATTGATAGGAAAAGGCCTGAGCAGGCCTGGTTCATAGCAGGCACTTAAAATCTTGTCCTTTCATCCGTTCATCCACTCAGTCGGTCAGAGAGGCAGCATCTAATTCCTACTTCTAGTTCCTATTATTTCCCTTTTCCTTGTCCTCCTCTCTGTCGTTTTCTCTTTCCTGTGCACTTGCTCCGTTTCTTCCTCCCCTCGTCCCTCCCTCCTCGTCTTACACCCTCCATCTCATGCAGAGGCACCATTTTGCTCTGCTGGGGGCACATGGAAAGAACAGGTATTGAAACTCATCATGAAACACTCACCAGAGACCTAAGCCTTGGGCCCTATTCTGCTGCACCACCACCCACCCCCCCCACCCCGTGTAAATACAGTCCGCCATCACTGAAGGGACCACAACTTTATCAACGTAGATGTTCGAGCACCTGAGTCAACACAAGGCTAATATGAAATGAGAATGGGAACTACGTCTGGAAAGCTGGCAAGAGTGTACACGGGACGGAAATCTCCAAGATCGCCAGATAAAAACTGGGTGCAAACTATATTGTACCTGGGATCTGACAAGGGTGGTACAGGAGAAAAAAGCAAGGACTGTAAGAGGAGCCGGTAGACCTGAACCAAAACCCATTTTAGGCCATCAAAATTTAGGCTGCCCAACTTCTCTGTGCCTCAGTTTCCTTCTCTGTAAAATCGGGGTATTGTAAGAATGAAATCGGTCAATACATCTCAAGCCTAGAGAATAGTGTCAGGAATGTTATTTATTACATGCCAAATAAGGTATTAACTACTGTGACCACCATCATCATCATTTTATCTCAGGATAAGTCCAGAATGCACATTATAATCATTAATATTACTTATAATAATAATAGGATTCTGCTTATTTCATATTTTGCTTTTTACTTTCAAAAGTACCTTCCTCACGTTCCCATTTTGTGGACTGGGAAGGTTATTATCTCTACTTCACAGACAAGGAATCTGAGCTGCTTTGAATACTCGCTCTCCTCTGCCATTTTCTGCAGAGTTCATACCTATAGAACTCCTGGATTCTGGCTCCAGAAATGGGGGAGACAAACACATGAGCATGGTAAGAAACCAAAACTGGGAGGAAGGAAGGGTCTTTCCCTCTCACCCCTCACGTCCCATTAAACACCAAGTTATGTGTATTCTACCCCCTCTGTTTCATTCATTTCTATTCACCCCACTGCATCCTCATGCCCCAGCCTCTATCATCTCTCACTGGGATAACTGAAACTACAACTTGATGTTCATCCTGTCTCTCTGGTCTCTGCCCCTCCCAGCCATTCTCCACAGAAAACTCCATCAAGTCCCTCTCCTTCAGGGGCTTCCCTTATTGCCCCTGACAGACTCCTCCAGTCACGGTCCCAGTGCATCAGTGCATCCCCTCCTCCCCTTCAGAGCTCTTTGCACCCTACTCGGTTTCATTGCTGGCTTTTGTCTCCACATTAGATTAGAAATTCCTTGAGGCGCATGGACCGTGTCTTTTCATCTTCATTTTCCCACGACCCATCAAAATACCCAACCCATGGTAAATGTTCAGCAAATGTATGTTCAGCAAACAAACTGAAACTCTATAATACAAATAAGGGGGGACGGGGGTACACCCCTGACCATGTTTACATAGTATTGCATCAGTGGACACATTCATGGAAAACTGCCTCCTTTGAGTAAAAACTGAATCTGATTTCCAACCTTGGGGAAAGGACCTTGGAAAGGACCCCAAAGTCTTCCTTTACTGTCTCAGTGATTGAAAGCTCCCCACCAAGAGGGCTTACAGTCAGGGTAAACATATGTCCTAGTCTGCACAGAAGAGCTCTGATTTATAACTGTTATCCCAGTAAAAATAGCAACAGTGTCCCATTTCACTCTCAAAGATGTCCCCATACAGACACTATATAACAGGATGGGGAAAAGGGCAGACCTGGTTTGGGCTCTGTTACCTTCCAGATGTATGACTTTGGTCAACTTCTCTAAATGTCTGTTTTTCCATCTGCAAAATGGGTATCTATTTCAAGGGACTGTGAAGATTAAATGAGATGATGCCTGCAAAGTGGTTAGCATAATGCCTGGCACACAGCTCAAAGGTGTTAGCTACCATTATTATCACCCATTTAGAGAAGTGGATCGTGCCTGCATGTATGAACAGAAAAACTGCAATTACCAAATGTTAGCTCTCCAACACATTCCAACAAATTGAGTCAGGTTCTTAGAGCATGTATGAGTGCCTTTTGGGCAACACTACAATAGTGCTTTTAAGAGCAGAGAAATGGGGAAAAGCAGGGCAAAAGGCTGCATGCTTGACCTGTGTGTTTTGTTAATAATTTAAGTGAGACCACTTAGTGCTTTTGCTTACTACAAAGAGCAGAGATCTGCACCTCCCCCAGCTGTATTAGAACTCTTGTCAGCCGCAAGGGAACAGAAAGCTGTTTGAAAAATTGCCTCTCTCCAGCCTCTAATAATTATATAAAGCATATCATTGAGGATCTATAATTGGTAGAGAAGGCTAAGACTAGAAAATGAGACTATTGCCCTCTGGAATCATCTTATGATAAATGATACATTTATTTTAGAGAAATAAGAATCAAAATACATAGGAATGGGAAGGAAAGTTAATGCAGCTTAAAATACTACTATTCAGCAGAGTTGACATCAATTGGAAATGAATAATCATGAAATGTAGAAGTTATAAGAAATGAAAGCTTTAAGAGACAAAAATTGTAAATGGATTATAAAAAGAGAAGTCGCAGGTTTCTCGGAGATAAAGCTTAGTCTTGAATACAAGAGCTGCACAATGAATCTCTGATGTGCAATTTCTTAGACTGAAAGGCAAAGCAAAAAACTAAATGCCAAACAGAAAATAAAAGAATAAAAATATTACTTTTCAGGTAACAATATTTTGAAGTACCATCCTAAATATGCATCATCCTGGCAGTTCTCATTACTTCAAAGTCCTTTACTCAGCTGAGCCATCCATTGCTTAAAGGAGATGGCAGGGCCACGGGCCATCTTGGATTTTAAGTGGGCTTGTTTTAAAACAGGTCATGGAAACGCTGATTTTTCCCTTGTAAGAGCTTAAAAGAGTACTTAAAAGAGGTTTGTTTCCCCTGGACTCTGAAGATGTGCTTTCAATAACAAAACTAGCTTGAAGAACTGGGAATAAAATTCTACAATGAGCCTGGTGGATTTTGCCCACTGACATCAAAACTCCAGGAGGGTAGACAGGAACTCTTCAGAGAGACTCAGCACCCAAAAGCAGAGGACACTCCTGGTCTCTCTGTTCGATTGAAACTCTCAGCGGTGCCAATGCCAACTCAAGAAGGCTGCAACAGAGAACAAATGCCAGCGGGCAGATTTAGACAAGACAGAACCAGCCACTCCCACTTCTCTCCACACCATTTCCCGTGGGCACCAGCAGGGCATGGAGGAGCACTGAGCATTCCCACAGGCCCTTGAGAGGGTCATAGAGGGCGGCTGTGAGCTGCGGCGAAACGTGCTATCCTACCCGGGGAGCCAGAGACAAAGAGAATCTGGAACAAAAGCTGTGGGTAGACCAAAGCCAGGATTTCACACAGGTGTGGCTGAATCTCAGAGAGAAAATAGCACGGGAAGAAAGCCAAAGTGATGGCGAAGTCAGAAAAAGAGCTCCAGGCACTGACTGTGCTAAGATCAGATGAGGGACACGTCAGTAGCAGATGGAGCGAGGGCAGGGGCTGGTGCCCAAAGAACAGGCAGGATGGGCCATGTCAGAGGAGGCAGGGAGAACCAGGGCCCAGCTGATGAGCCAGCCGCGGCCCCTCCACCAAGGTCTGGAGGCTGCATAGCCCACACCGCACTCTGCTTTCCAGATGTTGCCTGACAGAAATGGAGAACTCTGAAAGACTAAGACTTTATGTGAAGAAGAAGAGTTAACCTAGAACTGACCTTCTTACCTTGAATGGGCAAAATTATGAGGAAATGGGGAAATGGAGACTTCAGTGCTACAGTAGGAGGAAAATAAAGTTATGGTATGTGACTCTCCATGTAAAATCCTCCCATACGTTCAATGTCCAACTTATGGAAAATTAAACTGAGAGCACTTTGTGTTCAAAGTTAACCCTGGAAAGATCCAACGCAGAGCAAAAGTTAGTTCCTCCTGCCTCCCTAGGAAAACTCTCCATTTTAAAGGAAGAAATGATAGGAAAAACTGTAGAAAAAGCATTGTGGAGTGGCGGGTAAAGGGCAGTATAGGTAAAATGTACTGAAGGCCTTCTACAACCTGGTATTATAACACACTCACTCTTTACTCAATCCTCACAACAACCTCATGACATGACATGGGCAACAGTATCTCTCTCCATTTTGTGGAGGAGTCCAAGGTTCACATAAGTGAATGAACTTGTACCAGGTCACACGGCTGATACGTGGCAAAACTGGGATTCAAACCCAGGTGTTCCTAACCCCCTAAAGTCCAAACTCTTTTCCTTGAAAGCAGAATCAAACTTAATGATGTCAGCACCTGAAAATTAGAGGAGAAAAGGCTGAGGAATGGAATTCCAGTGTGTGTTTTGCAATATGTGCTATGAACATGCCTACCACTAATTTAGATCGCATAGTACCTAAAAACTGAACTTTGCCAAACCATAATGAAGCTTATACTGGAAATGAGATTATATTTATTTGCAGGGGTAAGAGTTGTCTGCTACCTCCTCTAATCAAATAGTGAGCTTGTATAAGTGCACCACAATGTTTTATTAATATTTAAGCTTGGATTCCTTCAAGTGAAAAGTAAATAAATAAGCTGAGAATTAACTCTATAACTGGATGTCAGTCTTAATATAGTATAATTTTTAAAGAAAAAGGAGATTATCTTTAAGTCATATATAACAGAGGCTTTCAAGCTAAAAATGCTCGTAACAAATAGAACAAAATGACTAGTTTTCAAAATGAAAAACTGTGCATTTGGATGGATAAATTCACAATGATCTATATCCCAGGTGGCTTCTATTTTCAACTTCTGTTTACTCCTCAGGCCCATTTACAACCCCGCCCCCCCATATCTTCTCCCTCTGCAGTCAAAATTCTCTTTTTTGAAAGCAAATCTAAGAGATTTTCCAATTAAAATTATTTTCATGTTCCAAAGCTTAAAATCTCCCAATAGGGCTTCCCTGGTGGCGCAGTGGTTGAGAGTCCGCCTGCCGATGCAGGGGACACGGGTTCATGCCCCGGTCCGGGAGGATCCCACATGCCGCAGAGTGGCTGGGCGCGTGAGCCATGGCCGCTGAGCCTGCGCGTCCGGAGCCTGTGCTCTGCAATGGGAGAGGCCACAACAGTGAGAGGCCTGTGTACTGCAAAAAAAAAAAAAATCTCCCAATGATCTTACACGGGTAGACTCCTGAGCTTGGCTCCCATCTCAAGCACCCATTCATCCTACCTTCCATCTACTCTGGAAAGGTGGGACCACTTTTAGTTGGTGGTAAACATAAGCAAAAATAATAATAGTAACAATAATGACAAGGTAATAGTAATAAAGAAAAACTAGTATCTGAATAGCATCATATAGCCACAAGCACTCTCCAACAAATATCTCATTTGATCGTGCCAACCGTACTGTGAAGAGGCTCTGGCAGACGCTGCTGTTCTTGTTGATTACTGCTCTTACCACTC